TTTTTTTATATCACTTGAAATACTTTTATATTTAAAACTAAGTTTACAATCTTCATTTTTTATTCATTATAATAGAAAAGAAAAGCTTATCAAAAGAGAAGTCAAGAAAATTTTATATATATTTATCATATTTGTCGCCAGATGGCAACTTCATTCGTATCTAGTAGAGATCCTTCAATAAAAGTCACATAAGAAAGTCGCGTGTTGATTGCGCGATGTTTCAGGAATTTCGTAATCACGTAATTTGACACGTAATGTAAAGAAATTTATTTAATATCTTTAAAATATATAATTTTAATTATATTATTGACATTTAAAAGTAAGTAACATAAATATAGATATGTAAATAAAATATATTTAACGGTTGATAGAAGAAACTCAGATATGTTCTTGCGCATATATCTCTAACAGTCAATAAGAAAATTTATCGCTTCTCAAAAGAGAAAGCGTTAAAATGAGAAAAAACTTGTGGAAAATTCAATTTTTCTTATGATATAATGCCTGCATATGATAAATATCCTGCACACTGGACGTGAAATGTTTATAGCGTTGCAAAATGTGTCGTGATAGCTAATAAGCTTACAGCTCCTAACATGTTCATTGGTGCACTGCATCGCATTTTGCTACGCAAGTTTTTGGTTTTTGCATCGTCAGTTTAATATGTAGAATTCATAATTCAAATAAACGCGGCAATATGACGATACATGGTGTCATGTTCTTATTGATTAGAAATATATGCGCAAGCGCACATCTGAGTTTCTTCCATCAGCCGTTAAATATTCTCTTCAATTTTATGTTTTATGACAAAAACATAACCTAATAGTAACTTCCAGACTGTTGTCATCAAGTCGTATTTTGATTACAAATGTGTTAGATTGAGTGCAATATTTTTAACTCAATGGCAAATGATCGGGAGGTACTTCGAGAAATTTGGGACGGAAAGATCCCAGTCTGTTTTACTCTCAACTCTGAAGAAATTTGCGACTTGCAAGGACCAGATCCATTTTACTTGATGGTACCTAGATTAAGTTATTTTCCACTGTGTACAGAAAAGGTAATAAGTTTGCAGCATATTTTATTGTATTAGAATTTTATTATTTATTCGCATATTATTTATTATAGCTCTATGAATATATATGAATAACTGATTGAATAATTTTATCTATAATTTTATCTATATATTGAATATTGTTCTAGGTTCGAAAACATTTCATACGTCATATACAAAGTGATAATAAACAAGAACATGAGATGTGGCTGGAATTTAATGGAATGCCATTAAAATGGCATTATCCAATTGGTGTTCTACTAGACATTTATTTCAATGATATTCAGTTACCTTGGAACATTGTCGTCCATTTTGATAAGTTTCCAGAAAATGTTCTAATGCACTGTCAAAACAAGTACGTAATAACTCAGCCAGACTGCAGCAACAACTAAACAAAACGTGCTGGTATAATCTGATAACAGATTGGCAGAAGAAATTAAGGATCTGCACTGTTACTAAATATTTTCAAGACTGTTGCTAGGTACCGTTTATCGCATGTAAAATTTATCAAGCTTTCTATGTATCCAAAGTTTTGATAATCTGCTGCCAATCTGTCGAGTTTATATAATCTGCTGCCAATCATTGTGCTAACATTTTGCTTACAGGAAAAATTTATATGCAATATTAGCATGATGTGATGATTTGTTTGCTTATTTGGTAGTTAGATATAACTGTAACGTTGTAATGTAATTTTAGGGAAATTGTAGAGGCACATTTTCTGTCTTGTATAAAAGAAGCTGATGTTTTGAAACACAGAGGTCAAATTGTTTCTAGTATGCAAAAAAAGGACCATACCCAACTATGGAATGGCATTATGAATGATAAATTTGATCAGTTTTGGTCTGTAAATGGTAGGCTTATGGAAACCAGTACTGAAGAGGGATTTAAATATATACCTTTCCGTTGTTATACAAGTGAAGATAAATACATACAAAGACTCGTAAAACCAATGAATGAAGAAGGCCAAAGAAAGACTTTGAAGCATTTATTAAACGAAGTATTTCCGGATCAAAAAAATGGTACTGTTACATAAGTTTCTCTAACAAGGGATATATCACAACTGTCTGTTTAAAAAAAAATGTATCTCTAAATTTTTGTTTTATCAGATATTTTAAGAAGAATCAGATCAATTCTGAACAATTGCAATATATCTCTTGTAAGTATTATGTACATGCTTTCATTTGTTTAATAAAATTGATACTTACGCGATTTTATTTTACAGTTACAGTGCGTACTCATGGTATTATACCACCGTTAGAGACGCCGCTTCAGTGGATGTCGGAACATTTGAGTTATCCAGATAACTTTCTACATTTAATTGTAGTCACACTATAATGTTTAGGGAAACAAAAAATTTCATTCTCTCAATGATGAAATCGTTTTTCTGTGATTATTCTGTTTTAACATAATTTATATTGTTTTATGGTATATTTATTTTATAAAAATTTCTTCCCATAAAAATTCCATCTGTAATAAAATCAATTTATTGCCTAACAAGGGCAAAGAGGAAAAAATATATTTACCGATATATTAAATCGCCACTGTAATGTTAATGAAAACTATGTTTATTGAACAAATAGTTATAAAATTTTCTGCTCATTAAGTTATCGCGCATCTTTTATCTAGTTTATGATATTCTATCGACGTCCGCGAGGAAAAATGAGTATTCTGCATAATTGTAGACTCTGCAGGTTTACGTATGATAACGGGATGATTTCCGTTGTTACTATATTCCATTGTTCTGCGACTGTTTCCAAAACTAAGGTAACTCACAATTTCTTTCTTTTTACTTTGTTGCTCCTGCAATTAAAAAAATATTTCGATTAAAAACTTATTTAAATTTATTCGATTTTGTTTTTACTTTAAATATAATTATCGCAGTATCTTGATATCTTTTATGAATCTCTTCCTTGCTCAAGACAATGATCACTTCTGGAGATTCATAACACGTAGTCATTTATATATTTCGTATAATTTTGTTCGCATATTCAACATGTACTTTCTCTACAACGTTTACATCGCCTCCTTTACCTGTAAATTATAAATCCAGTTAGCAGTAATTCTTTGAATTTGATATTTATCTGTTACGATATTTTACTAACATAGATAGTTTTAATTGAGGAAAAAATATGTAAGTCGACAGAGGTAAATTCGGTGTTTAGTATTATGGTAATATAAGAGCAATGAGAACAAAACATTCAACAGAGAAAGGAATTGAAGGGAAAAAGAAGATAGAGAGGTTTTGTCAAGATAAAATATATGCATGGGGTTTAGCCTTTCGCAAACGGTAATTTTCTCGCCGTTGCGGGAATTGCGAACGACTCTGAGACTTCCTTTCCTTTTTCTTCTTTACCGCGCGACATCAAGAACACGTGTATGAAAACAGGCTTTTTGGAATACGAGTGCGCTTTATAATTAGCTACCATCGCGAAATTGAGCATCTCTCCCAGTCGAGTGTTATGCGCCTGAAGGTCTCTTAGACCGAATTACTGTTCAAACGTGATACTCGTTTCGATGTCACTTTTGAAGATTATTCTTATCTCTTCACTTTTTTCGACTTGTATACATATATCCTCATCTCTGCATATCGACTTTTTTGTGGTTTTTTTACGCTATGTATCTTGACCCTCAATCATAGTTCAGTTTAACGTAATCGCGATGACGTCAGTTTCAAGCTCAAAAAACCGATATCACATATATCAATAAAGTGGAGAGCACATCTGTTGAAGTGGAGCTAATACTCTAAGAAGCTCTAATGCATCATTTAAGTTATATCTTTAATCTACAATCGGGAAAAGAGAAGGAACACTTTATGTAGGACATAGAAACCATAGCCGTGAGGTATCGTGATTACTAAAAGATTCACGAATAATAATAGTATTTGACAAATATCGTGTTGTGTTATTCCAAGATCGCTATACTGACTGTGGGGATATGCGGATTTCTCATTTTATGACACACTTCTCATTGCCAGTTTTCTACCTCAAATCACAGTTCTTGTCTACGAAAATCAACAATCAATATGAGATGTGCTGAGAGAATAATCGCCGAAACTTTTGTCTGCCCACTGCACCATTTGCCTGTTCCGCAAACAGAATCGGAGAGTCACATCAGACGATGTTGGAACAACGCCAGAATCTTTTCAGCTTTTGTATTTCCGGTTGGAGAACGGACTGAGAGGTATTCCGGGAGCACGATGGAGTATCTAAATGCTACTCAACTCGTTATTGTATTCTTAACGCTTTTCAAGATACATACATAATATCAGCGATTGGAGAACTTAAACCGCTTAGAAGTCGAGCAGCTTAGGTACGAAGAAACCGTTAAGTGACGAGGGAAAGCAGAGATCGGCATCGTCGCGATTTGATCTTCATAATATTATACACTCAGAATGTTACATTCCAACGGAGTCATTTTTTTTATCATGCCACTGCACCCTTCCTAATTGCGTTGCACCACCCGGTGACATTTATTGATGTTGATTGGCGCGTTGCAACAGTCATTCTTTGATTCAAAGTCCGTTTAGCGCGTATATGGTGATATAATAAAAATGGATAATGTGATTATTATCGTGATTATAACTGCAATACTTTGGTGGATCTTCCAAGAAAACGAAATTCTTAATTTTTCTCTAAATGAAATTACATATCACTAATTGATATATATTAATATGATATAAAATATTAATAAGTGAATATTAAATAATAAGTCGTAAGTGTGATTTAAAATTTCGTAAGCGTATTCCTTAATAAGAAAGAAGAAATATTCATATAAACATTAAATCGTAAATGCTTCATTTTTTAAATAAAGGATACAAATGCAGTATTATTTATAATATCAAATGACTTTGTTTAAAATTTTTAGATGAGTATTTTTTGTTTACAAGAACTGTTCAAAATATCTATCTAATCTTATTTTCCATGTATTACTCTCTGATATTTTTCCATTATTTTTCGTGCCTGAGCACGTGCCTTATGTTTATGGAAATATTTGTTCTTTCTGTTTACTCAAAAATACGCTCGTAAAATTTTATAACTTATAACTCATGTTTTATCACAACAATATTTCTTCATATATTTAAAGAAATTAATTTGTTAGTTTTAGAATTATGACATTTATGAAAATATCGTGAAAACTTTTATAAAAGATTATGAACTCTCTACTTTATTACATGATGAAAACCTCGAGATATTATAGCTAATTGTGAGAGATCAATTGTCCTACTGACGTTAAAGTAGTGATCTGTGAAACTGAGCTCCAGCTTCCATTCTTTTCGCTGTTGCACGCGATAACAATTGCTCAATTCGCTCAGGTGCACCAAGTCATTTACACAGAGCGACACAAAACGAGAAAATGTTTATTATATTCGTTAACCTCATTGTTTTATCATAAAACAAATACTAAGGTGTTTTTCATTAAAATAGTCACTAATCAATGTGTTCAGATTTGTTATCGTATCATTTTATAATAAACTACAAATAAAAATTCTCTGCGCAATTAGTAATTAGAAAATACATTCATTAATGTTTTATACTCTGTTCTCGAATAATTAAGAAACAAATTATTAACATTTCATTAACGTTTTATTACTTTTTTATTGAATGACATTTACTGGTTAATCATCATTACCATTAGCTACAGAGAGTCGACGTGCAGGTATGGAAATGTGTGTATCATTCAGAGTCCATATTTTCCTTTCCTTTTAATAGTGAACGTTTTATTCCCTGTTACCGGACTCGCAACGATAAACATCGGTAGTAAATCATGCATTTGCATAGCAGGAATTTACGGTGCAGTATGCATTCTATATCGTTGCTTATGAGAGATTTGAACTCTTACGTATAAGACAACTACGATACAAATTATAATTATAC